ATTTCTTTATATGGGCTTGACTTTCTCTCTATATGAAAAATCTATGTCTACATTTTTTACGTCCCTCTTTTTTGTTTTAATGTTGTCATCGTTAACGTATTGACATCTGTTTCCCTATTTTCAGTGTTTTAGCTTTGATTTACTTTTGTGACTTCCCTATCTGGGTTGATATCTGGTTGCTCTGTCCTGTGTTCTAGTCTCAAATTGTTATCTGATGTTACTGATTTTCTAACCGGAGGACTCCCTTTAGTATTTCTTGTAATTTTGGCTTGGTTTTTGCAAATTCCCTAAACTTCTGTTTATCTGGAAATGCCCTAATTTTGCCATCGTATTTGAGAGACAGTTTTGCTGGACATATAATTATTGGCTGACAGTTTTTTTCCTTCAAGGCTTTGTATATGTCCTCCCATTGCCTTCTTGCCTGCATGGTTTCTGCTTAGTAGTCTGAGCTTATTCTTATGGATTCTCCTCTGTAGATGACTTTTTGTTTATCCCTAGCTGCTCTTAAAATTCTCTCTTAATCTTTGCTTTTGGCAAGTTTGATTATAATATGTCTTGGTGTGGGGTTTGATGAGCATCTTGGATAGATACCTTGTCATCTTTCACGATATCGGGGACGTTTTCTGCCAACAAATCTTCAACAATTCTCTCTGTATTTTCTGTTATCTCCCCCATTCTGGTACTCCAGTCACTCGTAGGTTATTCCTCTTGATAAAGTCCCACATAATTCTTAGGGTTTCTTCATTTTTTTTTTTAAATCCTTTTATCTCATTTTTCCTCAAATAAGTTGGTGTCAAGTGCTGTATCTTCATTCTCACTATTTCTGACATCCATTGCTTCAGTTCTGCTCCTGTGACTTTCTGTTGAATTGTGTAATTCTGACATTTTATTGTTAATCTTCTGGATTGCTGATTTCTATCTCTTTATGGATTCTTGTAGCCTGTTAAATTTGTCATCATGTTCTTCTCTAATCTTTTTAATTTCCTCTATTGCGTGTTCTGTGTTTTGCTCAATTTCCTTCCTAATTTCTTGAAGAGTTCTGTATATTCATCTTTTGTATTCTGCCTCCAGTAATTCTAAGAAATTTTCCTCATCTGGAATCTTTCTAGAGTCTTTATTTTGGGAGCTTGCTGAAGCCATCATGGATTGCCTCTTTATGTGATTTGGTATTGACTGTTGTCTCCAAGTCATCAGTAAGTTATTATATTTATTTATTTAATGTTTGCTTACTGTGTCCTAGCTTCTTGTTTTGATATGCCCAAATAGCCTGCTCGTATGAGCTAGTTTGATTATTGGCACCTTTGAAGCTCTGATGTCGTGTCACCAGGTGGTTAGATTTGTTACTAAGTATGTAAGCTCAGGAGTCTGGCCACTCCTCCTGTATGGATTCACCTCAGGTGCCCAAGTAGATAGCCATCAAGTGTGTATTGTAGGCTCTCACTTACAGTCCTAGACAGGCATGGGTGATTGTTGTAGGCACAGGCATCTGGCTGTAGCAGGGGGACACACTCTGAGCAAGGGGAGGCTGACGGCTGCCCCTGAGTATCCAGGAGGAAGGTGTGTCCCTGTTCCCTAGAGCACGTAGGTGGGTGGGTTTTGCAGCCGGACTATGAGCACTTAATGCTGTTGGCTGTAAGGACTGGGGGGCACCTCTTATTCCTGGCCCTCTCTCACAGGTGGCTAGGTGTGTGGGTGGAGCCACCAGTCCTCAGGCCCCTGATGTGGGTAGGTGAAGACCCTGCTTAATCGGCAGAGCAGTGTCAAATGTCAAGAACCTGCCACTTCACAGCTGAAAGAGTTGAAGTCTGAGTTCTGGTATATACCCTGTTGTACTGCAGTAGTGAGGGCCTACGCTGTTGAGATGGGCCCACACAAGTCTATGCAGGGGGAAAGGCACTCAAAGTCTGTGGATCCCTTATGCCTGTGCCTAGGCAAAGGTGCTGTGCCTATCCTAGGTTCCTGGCTTAGGGTAATTGGCAATTTATTTTTCCCTGTTTGTTAATTTGTTCACTCTCCAAGGCAGGGAGAATGGCTCTGGGTGTGTGACGGGTCCTCCTTCCCAGGGGACTTGGCAATTGCTGAAGCTGGTCTGGGACCCAGTGCAGAGCAGGGAGCGGGGAGGTAAATGGGAGAGAGGGTTTTCCCTACAGGGTGTGTTTTTGATCAACATGGTAGGCCGTATGCAAGTACTTACCTTTCGCCGGATGGAGGGCTGCTTCTCACTGGTTCTGGGTGACCATGTAGACTCTCTGGCTCTGGGTCTCTCCCAGTGCAGAAAACGTGCTTCCCGAGCACCGCCACTTGCCTGCCTCACTACTCACCACCGAGCTGATCAGGCCTGAAGGTCTCAGGCTCTTGGCGGCTCAGGTCTGGCAACTCCTCCCCGCTTCCAAACTGTCTCTCCCTCCCCCTGCCACTCAGTCCGGTTCCTCAACTCTGCCTTTGATGTTCAGGACTTCCAGATTGCCACCTATAATCGAGTCACTTGTTTTTTCAGGTCTTTGTTGTAAGAGGGTCCACTGGTAACGTCTGATTACTCTGCCATCTTAGCCCTGCCTCCCTGTTTTTGTTTTGTTTTTTAATGTGAGTTGCTACCTGCTGATGGGTTTTCACCCTCAGGTTAAAAAACACTGGTCTATGGTGGTGCAGTGATTAAGCACTCAACTGCTAACTGAAAGGTTGGTGGTTGAAACCTACCAGCCACTCCGTAGGAGAAAGATGTAGCAGTCTGTTTCCATAAAGATTACAGCCTTGGAAACCCTAGAGGGCAGTTTTGCTCTGCCCAGTGGGGACTCTGAGTTGGAATTGACACAACGGCAACAGGTTTTTACGGTGGAGCAGTGGTTAAGCACTCGGCTGCAAACCAAAAGCCCGGCACTTTTAACCCTCCAGCTGCTCCCACCTAGTGATCTGCTCCCGTAAAGATTTCAGCATAGGAGCCCTCATGGGGCAGGTCTACTCTGTCATATAGGGGCTCTGTGAGTCAGAATCACTTGATGGCACCCAGCAAGAATCCATAGATTGTGAGATACTGAAGCCCTCCCAGTAGGGGGAAGGCTGGTCTGAATTGGTAGAAATAGGAACCAAAGCGTCTTGTAAAGAAATGTAGTGTTATGACCTTTGATGACAGTATACGTAACGTTTTACATGTATTAAAATAACACCTAAAGTGCATTCCACGGACTCCTGGCTTCTCTGTAGGCTCTTTTCTTAATGTAAAGTGTCACTGTTGTGCTCAATGCAAGTGTATACAACTGAGGCAGCTTTAGAGGTCTGTAAGTAGTTTAATGGAGGCTAACCCTCTTCCGAAATCTTCCAGACAGCAGTACGATTGTTCATTCTCAGTCTTGAAGTGAGAGGGGACTGGAGCCTTTGCTCTGTTTTGTAGTAGCATTGTTTAGTTCTCTTACTCATGGTCAGTTTTTTTTTTCTTCAAAAGAAGTATTTCTTCGTGGAAGTTTTAGAAAATGAGCCTGGCCATGAAGATACTTAAAAAAAATTTTTGTTTTTCTTTTTAAATAAAGGATCCAAATTCTCAGTGTTTTCTCATATATGTATCCTTCCAGACTGCTTTTGGTTTATTTGGTGCATTTAAGAAAAATATTTTTAAAAGTAGCTGAATGTGCACACACACACACAAACACACACACAGTTTTGTCACCTTTTAAAAAGATGTCGAGGACTCTTTCTATTTTAGTATATATACATTTCTGTCACTGTTAATTACTGAATAGAATTTCAGTGTATGAAGGGCTGTATTATGATTTAATCAATTCCCTATTGTTAGACATTTAGGCTGTTTCTAATTTTTAGCAATTATAAACAAGGCTACAAAAACCATTTTTATACCTGTCTGTATACAGTTTAGTTACAAGATTTTAAAATGAACTAGAAATTATAGGCACATTTGCCTTTTTTAAAACAATTTTGATACAGAAATCTTTTCTAGCCTGTTTAAAGAAGTGTTACCTTTTCACAGACTAGTCACCCTTGTTATCACTGTGTAAGGAGACGTAAATTGAGATGAAAATTTGACTTACCAGAAACTGATTCTAGTTCTCGCCTTGATTTTCAGACAGTACCTGTAACAAGAAACAGTAAAGAAAACAGACTAAGAGGAAGCAGAGTGCTCTACGTGGTGGGTTTCTTAGCGTGGGTAGTGACCTACTTATTAAATACTCATTACAGCACAAGGTGTGCCAGTGGCAGGTATAGGTTCTCATATTCTAGGTGGTGGTGGTTGTTAGGTGCCATTGAGTCAGTTCTGACTCATAGTGATCCCATGCACAACAGAACAAAACACTTCCTGGTCCTGCACCACCCTCACAATCATTGCTGTGTTTGAGCTCGTTGCAGCCACTGTGTCAGTCCATCTTGTTGAAGGTCTTCCTCTTTTTTGCTGACCCTCTACTTTACCAAGCATGATGTCCTCCTCCAGGGACTGGTCCCTCCTGATAACATGTCCAAAGTGAGTGAGATGAGGTCTCACTAACCTCACTTCTAAGGAGCGTTCTGGCTGTACTTCTTCCAAGACAGATTTGTCTGTTCTTCTGACAGTCCCTGGTATATTCTAGGTTAGGAGAAGCTTTTATGGAAAACAAATTTGTTTTTCATTTAGCCTTGACTTTTTAAGTCTGTAAGTAAATTTAGTTGTTGCTGCTGCTAAGCCTGCCATCAGGCTTCATTTGGCCTATTATAAGTCTTTTGTGAATTCGTTTTAATTGCAGAAAGATAAAGATAGGTTGTCTCCTAACCACCTCTGGGAAGTGAGGTATGTGACCTATGTGAAGTAGCCCAAAGTGACCTATGGCCAGGACGATTCTTGGTTTACATATTATTAATGATGCCTTTTGTGAACATAGTTTTCTCTGATGTTGTAGGTATCACGTTTGCATATATTGTTAGATGTAGCTTTGATTCGAAAAATGGGTGGAACTAGGATTTTTTATATCACTTTTAAAGTATATATCTGGAAGCAGTTTATTGGTATTTATTTTTAGAATGAAAAAACAACCATGTCTTAAGCAGGTTATAGGGTTACTACATGTTTATACTCACATGTTTGAGGGCTGCTTGAGATGTAAGTAGAGAAAGGTACTGCTAGTCAAGTTACTGGGGTTATCGTTTATTAGAAATGCAGTGTTAAAATTGTAAAGTACTGTAATGCTGAAATGAGTCCTTCCCACCACCTTCCCTCCTTTTTTTATTGTGCATTAGGTGAAAGTTTACAGAACAAATTAGTTTTCCCATTTGATAGTTTGCACAAAAAGTGTTTCATGACCTTGGTTTCATTCCCCACACGTGTCAGCACTCTCCCCATTTCTGCTCTGGGTTCCGCATTTCCTTTAGTCCTGATTTTCTACCCCTTCTGCCTTCTTATCTTTGCTTTTGGGCAGATATTGCCGTTTTGGTCTCCTGTAATTAATTGTTCTAAGGAGTAAGTTCCTCTCTGGTGGTGTTTATCTTATGGGCTTGTTTATTGTTTGGCTGGGAGGTGATCTCCAGGAGTGGCTACAGTTCCAGGTCAGAAGGGTGTGTTAGGGCCATAGTCTCAGGGTTTCCTCCCATGTCTGTCAGACTAATTAAGTCTGGTCTTTTTTATGAATTTGATTTTTTGTTCTGCAGTTTTTCTCCCGCTTTGTCCAGGACCCTCTGTTGTGATCCCAGTCAGAGTAGTTGGTAGTAGTAGCCGGGCACCATCTCATTCTTCCGGGCTTGGGGTCATGCAGGCTATGGTTCATGTGGTCCATTAGACCTTTGGACTAATTGTTCCCTTTGGTCTTTAGTTTTCTTAATTCTCCTTTGCTCTGAGCAGTAAGAGCCCAATAGTTGTTTTAGGAGGCTGCTCGCAAGCTTTTAAGACCCCAGATGCTACTCACCAAAGTAGGATGCAGAACACTGTCTTTATGAACTATGTTGTGCCAGTTGACGTAGATGTCCCAAGTCTATGGTCCTTTGTCTTCTAGCCTAGGAACTTCATCCCACGAGGTGTTTGGTTATGTCTGAGAGATCTCCCCGACTGTACCCTTGTGTGCTCTGATTACCTTCCCTTTTGAGAATCCTAGTGCTGGAAGGAAGGAAATTCCTGAGGGTGACTTTTCAGGAATCACTGAGTATCTTCTTCAAGATGACTAAGACACAAGTCATGTTAGTTCAATTAAAAAAAGAAAAAAAATCAGACACACACGTGCACACACACATCTAATTGCAGTGAATGCCAGTCTTCAGAAATGGCAACAATTAAGATAACTTCATCAAAAGTATATTAAAGACCTCAAAGTTGATGTATCCTGCATTGATAGAATACCATTTTCTATCAGTGTCCGTGATCAGGTGATAATCCCAAAATTGTCACAGGTTTTTAAGTTTTAACTTGCTCCTAGAAATCATCTTATCTGTTTTGGGTGCACCTTTTCTACCCCCGTACCAGTGATTGATACTTTCCTTTGGAGGCCGAGAACTTCCTTCTTTGGTGGAATTCTTGGAGTGAATGGTATTCACAGGTAGAGAAGATGTGTGAAGGGATTTGGAGTCAGAGGGCCTGTGTTTGAGTCTGGAGCCTCTTCCTGGGGATGTGTGCTGGGATGGTAATCACCTTGACCTTACAGGGTTGCGAGGATAGAATGAAACCTATTAAGTGAATGTAATGTACTTTGTAAACTGCAAAACCCAGTGTATGTTTTGATGCTGCTATTCCACAAACGGAATAGGAAAAAAGATTTTCAAACCATAATAAACCCAAACCAAACCCATTGCTGTCAAGTTGATTCCAACTCATAGCGACCCTGTGGAACAGAGTAGAACTGCCCTATAGGGTTTCCGAGGAGCGGCTAGTGGATTCGAACTGCCGACCTTTTGGTTAGCAGCCAAGCTCTTAACCACTGAGCCACCAGGGCTCCTTTAAACCATAACAGTCTGTAAATTAAACTTGGTAAAGCTGTCAGCTAAGCAGACAGCCTAACAGCGATCCTGTTTCTTTCTTTTTCCTTCCAGTCTTCCAGCAGCGAGAGTGGCGGGAGCAGCAGCAGCAGCAGCATCAACAGCCCGGACAGGGCAAGTGGGCCAGAGAGCGGCTTAAACCAGACCATCACTGGCTCCAGCCCCAACACCCCCCAGCCTGCCCCCGAGCAGTCTGCGCTTTGCCAAGGCCTTTACTTCCACATCAACCAGACCCTGAAGGAGGCCCACTTCCACAGCCTACAGCACCGAGGACGGCCTCCGACATGATGCTCCGGCAGAGTCTTGCCTTCTGTGAAGGGACAGCGCTGTGCAGAGTGGATACTTCAACTTAACGATCTGTTTTAAAGAGTTGCACAAAAAAAAATGCCTGTTGGCTTTTCAGTCTATATTTGAGATAACAGGTTAACAGGCAGTTGTTTACTTGTGGTTTTGCTGCACTATTGCAATTTCAAAGGGGCTTTGAAGCAATTTTTTATAGGATTCTTTTGAGGGTGGGTATCAAATCCATGTCAAGGTAATGGTATGAGGAAGCCTCATCTGCGTGTTGAACCCATAGTATGTCCAGTTCAGAGTGATTTCCAAACCTGTCAATTACAAGTTCTTTGTGTACAAAGGCCTTTTAAAATGCGGGAACTTCAATTTTTTAATTCAATAAACTAGTAAAGTGTCTAGTTTCCATGAAAAAACCTAAGTTTTTTTTTTCCAAAACAGAGAAAGCTTGATTCAGTCTTGCACTGAAATTAACTGCCATACTACCTCTTAGTATGTAGACGTCCTGTGGAAAGTATTCTCTCCTTTGTAACAGGAGAGCAATCAGATCCAATTTAGACCCACTAAGGGAAGCACCCTCCCTCTTTGTTATATATTTGTATTTCCAGAGGGAATGTCTTTGCAGACTCTTGTATACCCAGATAACCTGTGTATCATTATTCCTCCAGAGTCTGCATTTCAGACGTAGAAAACATTGCACAGTTCCCAAAAAACGGGAAATCCGTGACAACTGTGTCTTACCCACAGACTTCCTTCCGCAGCTCACGTGATCTCATGGTAGTTTGACTCCGCTGTGTCGAGAACTAAGGCACTGATGGATGCTGATAGAGTGTAAGCTACCTGAACTGATGTCTAAAGTAACAAGTACAGTGAAGCTACTGGATAAGGATTCATCTTACACTTCACGTCACTCCTAGCAGTAACTAGGGGGCCACATTCCATCCCTGAAACCGGAAAGATCGGTACGGCTTAGAAAGCAATGAGCAGAGGCACCTTTAGAAGAAATAATAGTGCAGTGTTTATTTAGAGAGTGACGGAGATGTTTCCATGCTATTTAGTCATACTGGAGAGCCAGCCGAGTTTGAATAGTGATGGCGTGGACGTGTCTTCCTCCTCATTGACAAGCTGTCTGAACAGGGAGCCAGGGTGCGTCGGGTCATCTGCTCTGGAGAGAGCCGGGGGTACAACCTGCCATTGGATGCAGAGAAAGTGCCTTAGAGTCCCACTGAATCCTCCTGCCTGCTCACACCCTCTAGTCCACTCTACGCGGAAGCCCACACAGCACGCACGACAGATCTGAGAAACATGGATAGCTTTAGTAAGAGGACTTTGCTGTTTGTCAAGATTTGAAAAAGACATAGGGAACAGAATGAGATTGGAAAATGAGGACTGTCTTAGGAAGAGGGTAAACGTGCGCACCTCCTTTCCATGGTCTGAGCCTTTGATATGGATAGAATTTAAAGGTCAGTTACTTGAAGTGAGAATTTAGTGTCACAGGGAAAAAGCTGGCACGCCCCACTGGATGGAGCGGATGGTCTGCACAGGAACTTTTTCTTCTTCTACCGTCATCTCCCGAGTTTAAAACTAGATGTTTGATGAAGATTTTGGACCTTAATGGGATTGATGGCAGGGAATATGGAAAGGATACACTGCTAATACTTTGTCTAACAATAAAGCAAACCACCACCAAATGCTATAAAAAGACAAGCTGTTTGAGCTCTCAAGACACACGTGTACACAACACACTTCAGAAATACCCAGGAGGACTCCTGCAGGTTTAATGGATGCCGTCCTACTGAAACAGAATGTGTATTAACAAGAACATGTAAAACTTGAGAGCAAATTTCCTTTTATTTCCCACCCAACTAAAAGTTATGGGTGGGGGTTGGACTTCTCTGTAGCCCAAAATAAACAATTTTTTTCCAAAGAAGTACCATCACAGCGCTGGGTTGGCCATTGGCTCATTTACCCTATTAGTACAAGAGATGATCTCCATCCTGTCCTCTAGATTTTCTGCAGCCTTGTGGCAGCCTGAAATCCATTTCACTATGAGGCTACTTGATAGTGTAAATGGGCATCTTTTAAAACTTCTATTAGCTCAACCTAGTAAGACCTTGTACTTCTCTATTGCGCCGCCATTAAAAGCTGCATTAGTGCATTTTGTCATTCACTTCTTTATTGGTTATTTAAAGGGGGGGCTGATGGAGTGGTTTGGTGGGAGACGGGGCCAGGACTGACAGGGACGAGCCTCTTGTTCTTTGCACTCACCTGGGCTTTTGTTTCAGCGCCTCTGCTGGTTAACCTGGCCTTTCGAGTGCTTGTCATGCTCAGTGGGAGAAGTCCAAACCTCCAAAGACAAGACGAAGGCACTTCAGCAGCACCAACAGGAAGCTTTGGGGCCCAGCCAAAGCCCCTTAGACTCATTTACCTGATCTGACTCGTGGCCAGTGGCAGGATGTTGTGGGGTTCTTGGGAGTTGAATGTACTGCTCCTTGGGGTGAACTGATTCTCTGTACCAGTAACCAGTCCGAACAGAACCTGGCAGGCAAGAAATGGAGCACAATAAAATGCTGGGTTTTTACTATCTAGAGAGGAGAGCACACTTCTCTGTTACCCATCAATCACTGCTTTGTTTCTAATGTCGTTTTGGGGAATGTTCTTTTGAGCATGCTCATGCTTCAAAATGACTTTCTCTCACTGCCCATGGGTTGGCATCTCATCGCCAGGCAGCTTTTTGATGTCACCATCCTCTCTGAGGCCTTGGTAAAATCTTAATAATCGCTACCTACAGCCAAAGGGGTTGGATCCTGGTGGCCGCAGCTTCTGAGATTTCCTCTACTCCTGCCTTCAGCCCTTAGGACTAAACTTGGCTGTCTGTGGCTCGCCCTCCTCCCAGCACTGCCTCCTGGGGCAGCCTGAAGCAGGGTGACTTGTAATTTGGGCTTGTAGCAGTCACTTACAGAAGCATGTGTTTGGTGTCACTTACAGATGTGCGCTGTACCAGGCGACTAAGGTTGCTGTTGAGGTGTGGTGTGAAAACATCCAGGTCGAAAGGATCAATGAGCCCCTCCAAGTAGTCGATCACTTTCTCAGTTCTGGAAAGATGACTAGGATTACTCTCCAAAATTTTTTAGGATAAAAAACCGTCTTTAATCTTACGGTATTTTCATGCTACTGAAAAGCCTGGACTGGATTTATTCTACTTAATTGCCAGCTTAGTACCACTTGCTGCCTCTCACTGTGCTTAAGTAATCCTTGAGTGCCTCCACCTGACCTGATACACAGTAAAAGCTGTGAGAGCCGGAACCTGTGTAAGATGGAAACCTGTCAGAGAAGGAAAACAAATATTTTTCACAAACAGTGACAGAAAAGTGGTAAGCTACACCCTGTCAAAGACAGAACACTTGCGAGACACAGAAAAACAAGGCAGTCCGTCCAGTTCTGGCTCTCGCAGGTTTCCCTGTGTAAATAAAGACCACTCTGCTCCCATGCTCTGCTTTAGGGAGGGGTTTCAGGGCTCAGCTTACACCCAACAGTTGCTAGACTGACTGAGGAGACAGCGAGAGGAATGAGATTCCAGCTACTACACCTGTCCCTGCAGTTTGTCCAGCAGGTGGCCATTATTTACCTTGCTGGTAACAGGAGCACTGACTGTTTAAACACAATGTGCAGTGAGAGGCTGACTTCTCTTTGGTGGCCTCTGAGAAAGGGCTGATGGCCTTGGGAGAGCAGGCGCGGGAGAGCACTGTGGAGGGGGTAGGGCACCTGGAGTCCTGCTTGCTGCGGCCACTTTTCGCCTCCTCGCTCTTGGCTGTCAGAATGATGCTGAGATAACGCAGGTCGTAAAGGAGCTGCAGCGCCTGATTCTGGGTTACTGGAAATGCACCTTCTTTCTGCAAATGAATTCCCAGGCCCCACCCGTCAAGAGATGACTGGTTACATGGGCGTGATAAACAGCTTCATGCTTCGGTGGAGTTAACAGCTCGACATTTCAGAAGCTGACGTTTTTCATACTCATGGCAGGTTGAGTCTCACAACAAAAACTAAGCAGGGTATGCTAGATAACTGGTCTTAAAACTCAACCCTACCAGCAGGGAAGAGACCTGGCCCTTAAAAAAGGCCTCAGGTGCTGAAGATGGCAATTTTAGCTCAATGGAAAGAAAAAAAAAAAATCCCATTCATAGCAACCCTATAGGACAGAGTAGAACTGTACCACAAGGTTTCCAAGGAGCAGCTGGTGGATTCGAACTGCTGACCTTGTGGTTAGCAGCTAAACACTTAAGTACTGCACCATCAGCGTGAAGGAGTGAGGCGTTGGGAAGCTCAGGGGAGAGAACACTTGGCTGGATTCTTTCCAAAATCAAGAGTTGGAAGAAGGGGAGCCAAGTTTACTCATGGGGTAAGCCCAGTCCTTGTCTTAACGTTACTAACAAAATGGGAACGTACGCGAAGGACAGCATGCTTCATGGCGGGTGAGCTGGGAGTGGAGTGTGGGGTGGTAAGCACTCTGAGATGAGGACCTTGATGCCACCCGCTCTGTGACCCCTGTAACTGCCTCACAGTCACCCAGGTGGGCGTGCTGTGGGCTCTCCATTTCACAGGTGAGCAAGCCAGGCCCAGCAGCTTCCGAGATCACATTTGGTCCTGAGGAAACGGGCATGATTTGCCCAGCTCCCGCACTGAGCTGGGGCGGTGCAGGGGTCGGAGACCAGGGCTGTTTTACTTTGAAGCTTTGATTCTCCCACTTGTACCGAGCTGCCTTTTTTAGTGAAGTCCTCTTTGGCCCCTGAGAATGGGTGTAATTAAACACGCAGAGCTGGAAGCACTACTGATTAAGTCAGGCATTTTTATAGAACCCAATGCCTGGGCTGGGTGATCCATAACCCTCTGAATCCTCGATGTGAACTGCCCAAACCTAAAGAAAGTCTCGGGCTTTTATTCGTTTGTTTTTCATGGAAAAAAATTCGATCACCTACCTTAGTCTGTTTCTCTTCTGCCAGTTTCTCGTAGGCAGCTGCCACCTGAACCACACAGCTTCTCAGCGCCTCCTGCACCGTCACCTTTGGCAGGGCATGGCCTCCTGCCCGACTGACTTCCTGGCACAAGCTAAACAGGAAGGACTGCACATTCCAGGATGGCTGAGAGAACAAAGGAATGTCAGCTTGCCAGCTTTCTCCAGTTAACCGAGACGTGTTAAAAGCAGATCCATTTAATCTCACTAGGCTTCTAAGCCAGGATCTTGACCTCTCAAATCACCTCCCCTGACAGGCAGACCAGTTAACAGATACAAATCCTTCTTTTAAGAGCAATTTGTGTCATTCCCTCCTTAGTCTGAGGGGGACCAACTCCCTGAGCTGGCAGGTGGCACTGTGCTTCCCCCATTGTTTTTATTTCAGGGTAACCAAAACCAAAAACCCAAGCCTGTTGCCGTCGAGTCGATTCCGACTCACAGTGACCCTATAGGACACAGCAGGACTGCCCCATAGGTTTCCAAGGCTGTAATCTTTACTACAGAAGCAGATGCCACATCTTTCTCCTGAGGAACCACTGGTGGGTTCGAACCAACGACCTATCGGTTAGCAGCTGAGTGTTTAACCACTGCACAACCAGGGCTCCTATTTCAGAGTAGGTGCTTCTGTAACGAACATTGAGCCTATGCTACAAAAGAAAGAATCATTTGCGGATGTCCTCTCGAGAACAGTCTGCTGTTTATTTGACTGATGGCCATCCACTCTGCCCCCCAGCAGAAAGTTACAAATACAGCTTTTCCGCTGTTCCTCAGATGCTACTTATGGAATGACTTTCTAGAACCTTCTCCCTTCCCCAAAGCAGTTTTTCTTTCCCAGTCCGTGGTCTCCAGCATAGCGGCACCTGTTTACCTGTACAGGGAGTCGGATCTTGGATGTGACGCTGCTGCCGGACTCTGTCTCCTCTTGAATTTCTAGTTCATCCCAGCTGGTGGCTGTGGCCAGGACTGAGCCAGCATCATCTGACAGTAATGACTGAGTGAATTCATGAACCAAAACCTGATAATAAAAGGCAAATATCCTTATAAGCCAATTCAGGTCTTTTGTAGAGTGTGTTTGAAATCAATGGAATAAGCCTGGGAAGAGCTTAAGCTGCTTAGGTGCCATGTGGGGTGATGGGTGGCAAACACCATTCCTCTTCTGGCTAATTATTGGTATACATACCGTATCCGTTGCCATCGAGTTAATCCGACTCATAGCAACCCTATAGTACAGAGCAGAACTGCGCCATAGGGTTTCCAAGGAGAGGCTGGTGGATTTGAACTGCCGACCTTTTGGTTAGCAGCCGAGCTCTTAACCACTGTGCCACAGGGCTCCAATTATTGGTATAACTGATGGGGATTCTGTTGCTAACTGCCCTATAAATGTCAGTTGCCACCTCGTAAGAGACAGTAGAGACTACAAGGAAAGGATGTTTACCTTGAAGAGCAGAAAATAATAGACCTTTGTCCAGGGAGAAAGTGTTTCATCCAATGGGAGGGAAAAAAATCCAGGTCTTTTGTCTATAAAACCTAGGCCAAATATGAAAAGGTTTTCTATTGTGCGATCTGACAGAGATAGAGTGAGAGTAGCTGTACGAAACAGGAAGTGCTGTTCCTTACTATTAAAGGACATTACTGAGCTTAGCAAGACTAGGACATGGTCAGGAGGAGATGAACGGGACACTGGTGACCATGACACGAATGAGCAAAATAAAAACAAATGGGGGAAAGCCCTGTGCCACCTGCCAGCTCAGGGAGCCGGTCCCCCTCAGACCAAGGAGGGCATGACAGCAAAGTTGACTTAATGGAGGGATCTGTATCTGCTGACAGGTCTGCCTGTCACTCACTTGCACAACGGCGGAGCTCCAGACCCGGTATGCTGTCACGCTCTGCTGTAGCAGGAGTCCTTTCACTTCCTGCCACTTGGTCTGCAAAGGCATTAGCTCCTGGGCTTTCCCCTTTCCCTGTTTCTTCAGAGCCCTCGGCTCCCTGGCTGGCTTCTCCGAGCTCCCCGATTTTCCCAAGATGCACTGCTTCAGGTGGGGACACAGTTCTCCCAGGGACTGGCAGAGCCTGGCCATGAAGAGGACGGCGTGCAGCTTGACGCCAGTGAGGACCCCCAGCTGCCTGTGCACGACCTCCTCGATGCTCTGCAGCTCAGC